AGGTTTTGGCAAACCGATGTTCAGAGCTGCGCACTTTTCCAGCCCGGAGAGAATGGGTTTATTCCCTGCAGGTTGCGCCTAGGGACTGTCATGCTGTTGCTGTACCGGCGGGCATTTCCGAGGCTTCCAGGGCAAGGACGTCTGCAGTCTAACGGGATTCCCATTCCAGCCATGTCTGGCGGAATGCCGAGGTCCTACACTACTGGATCGCCGGAGGCCAAAGCTAGGCGGATTGTCCACGTTCCGCTGACCCAGCCTGCGCATATCCTCGCTGGGCTACAATCCCGCAACCAGGAAGGCTTGAATTGGATCTAATCGCGGTGCTTTTTCTTCAAGTTTCCAAAATGCGAATTGCTAATTGAGACTCCCAGGAGAGCCAAGCCGACAACAAGGAATCCGGGAAGAACTGATGGGCGGAAGAAAAAAACAACAACCCTAAGCCAAGGATCCAGCTTTCCAGCAGCCTTTTTCTAGCTGTAGCTCGGAAATCAAGTCCCGAATCGCGCGGCGTGCGACAGCTCTTTACTTGTTATCTCTATAGGTGTACTGGACGGCATCTCTCGCCAAGGACTCTTTTTTTTAAAAAAAAAAAAATCAGAGCTGCCAGCCACGGGAAGTTGAAACAACTCATTTGGTATTAAGTATGTAGTGCGAGCCCGTGAAATCTTTTTTGCCGTTGCTCAAATTTAAGGCTTCCTTTTTTCTGACTAAACGTGAAGGTTGCCCCTCAGAAAGAACAGGCCATGTTCAGCTTTCCGGAAGTGCGAGCTTATAAAGCGACTCTAACTTTTCTTATCTCTTGGAACGGCCCTGCGAGAAAGCCGCGCGAATTTAGATTTCAGGGCGAGGCTGGGAAATCCTACCTCGCCTTTGGCGCAAGGCATGCCGGGAACTCGGGGCGGCCCGGTGGCGACTGCGATGACAGCGGGGGCGGAGCCGGAGGCGGCCATTCCCGTGGCGGGGCGTTTGGCCGTTTCCGGGATTGAGGAAAGCGGTTCGTCTGAAAGACAGCAGTTGGGCGAAGCTCGGGCTCGTCGGCGGTGGCGGCTGTGATGTACCACAGCAGCACGCAGAGGCGCTACTGGACTTTCCGCGGCGAGGAGGAATTGTCCCGCAGGCGCTCTGACGCCAACCGCAAGTTCAGATGCAAAGCGGTGGCCAATGGGAAGGTAGGAGCGGAGGGGGCCAAAAGAGCCGAGAAGCCCCCGATCTTGCTTTCCGTTGCATTTGCCTTGGATTGCCCTCTTTAGAGTTTGTCAGAATGGTACAGGTAGCCCTTGTTTACCGATGTTAATTGGGACTGGAACTCGTGTCACTCCACAACACGATCGTAATGCGTGGTGTCACGTGAGTACACCGACTTATGGAGGCAGTTGGCAGGCATGGTTGCTGTATCCCACTGTTGTGCGATTGCTATCCTGCCGGCTTCCCCATTGTCTTTGCTGGTTGGAAACAGATGGTAAAGATCACATATCTGGGATATGATGGTGTTTTAATTGGGAGCCAGTTGCTAAGCACTGGAATTGTGATCACATCACTGAGGATGCAGCAATGGCTGTAACTATGAGGAACCGTTATAAATACCATTCATTCAGCACTACTGTGACTTTGAATGGGTGGGTATTCAGTGAGGGCAACCGGTATGCACCAACCCTAATTTGGTATGCTAGTCGGAGAACTCTGGGAGCTGAAGTCCACACATCTTAAATGTTGTCAAGTTTGGAAAACACTGTTATATAGATTCTGTTTTCCCTTAAGAGTAAGAGAAACAAATGTTATAGTGTGTCATGCCCCTATAAACAGGTTTTATCAGACTTCTCTTGGCAGGAGTGAGCTACCGTGTTTTATCTGTGCAATGTTTTACGATTACATTGACCACTAAATGGACCTCCTGAAAAAGCATCTTTGGGACAACCATGACCTGGATGACTGAGAATCTCCATAGGGTTATATTCTGTGTTACTGATAGAGAATATTGATGCACTGATTTGATTGGTGCTCTGATGTTACTTAGTTTGATAATGAAACATTTGCAAGAAAATAACCAAGCTCAGAAAGGTCCCCTTAACTGTTATATGGTTTCCCAAATTTCTTCTCTGCAAATATATAGATTTATAACTCTGAATGCCTTTAGCTGCCTAGGGATAATGGAGTGATAGTCCTGCACATGTCAACAATACTAGGTTAGTAAGACTCATGTATAGGATTATGCCTTAAGTGGGTCTGCTTAATAGCTATAGTCTGTGTTAGTGAATTGTGATTTCTATTTAAGATATATATTATTCTTTCATAAGGTTCAACAGACAGACTCATTTCTTCTTGACCAACATGAAGAGCTGATAATTTGTAAATATTATGAAAAAAGATTAGCAGACTTTTGCTCTGTATTTAAACCAGCAATGCCCAAATCTGTTGGGGTAAGTTGTTGAATTTTTTACATTTGTTTTAACTTTTCTGTTTAGAGAAACCAATGTCTTGCTGCTGCTTACTTGAAATGCTATTTTTAAGGCTGATTTAAATAAAACCATTTTTAATGCTCATGACACAGAAGTATAAATTAAGCACACTGTCTGGATTCATATAATATCCCATAGTTAAAAAATGGCTATGTTGGATGTTAACAGCTAATTCTTATTCTTTGTAAATTTTAATCCATTAAAATTTAAAATCCATTAAATTTTCAAAATTTAATGTGGTTTGCAAGGTTTTCTTTTCCATATGCAGAATCTTTTATTTTGAACATTAGTATTAGTTAATAATTAGTAATGCTGATTTGAAATACTGAAAAGAAATGCAGAACTGTTTCCCTTCCAAGTAATTAGTACTGTCTTAATGTTCACTGCTCTGTGATTGATGGTTTCGTTCTCATGCAGAGCCTGGTCCACCTTATTTTGTTACTTGGGAAGAGAAAGAAAAGATTATGCATCAAATATCAGAGCAGCAGTTAGATCAATCTGTAATATTGTAATATTTGTAATCAATTTGTAATATTGCCACAAAAGGCTTCTGCTAGAGTTGTGCAGCAGAATGAACTGAAGATCATAACACTGTCAGGAAAGCTAATTATCCTGCTATAGGAGATCACATCTCATCTAATCTATGTTAGGAGTCAGTGGTAGGGACAACCAACAAAGTCCCATAATTCTGGAAAAAGTATAGTTGTGAAGAATATAAGCCTATCTGAGATCATAGACATAGGGACTTGTTTTTATTGTATTTGTGAAGTATACCATTTTTGACTTGGAGAAGGGCAGAATTACTGATCTAGTGTGCTGTTTAGAAGGGAATTCTAGTATCTGTTTTGTGTGCACTCTTTAAAAAATAGAAAAAGGGTTTTAGTATCTCCAAGTAGACTGGAGTGCAAACATGCTATTTTATTCTCCTGGGCCAATTTATACATAAAACAGATGCTCTTTTCATTTGTACAGTAATAAATAACCTATTGCAGGGCTGCATCCTTTGTTTCATAAATTCCCCTTTTGACTCTATGTTTTTTGAATAGTTGTGTGTAGAACTGAGCAGTTTGTTATTTAGTTTGCCATTGGCATTTTAAATTGTGTCTTGTATTTATTTTTATGTTTATAACAAGTAATTTGAATGAACTTTCTAACTTTTTTGTGCTTTTAGGGTACAGCATGCATGTATTTCAAACGTTTTTACCTCAATAACTCAGTAATGGAATATCATCCCCGGATAATTATGTGAGTAACTTACTATTTATGCTTTAATTATCAATTAGAATTGATAATGTTTTTACATTTTTGAAATTTTAATAAGAGATAAGAAATATGTAGAGCTCATATTCATATTTCAAGGTGAAAACTGCCTGTTTCTCAGGAAAATGTTTTTGGTCTTGAAATTATTTATATTGTCTCAAGTTTATATACTTTTGTTACAATCAAATGTGTTTTGTTTTTAAGGTTAACGTGTGCATTCTTGGCTTGTAAAGTAGATGAATTTAATGTATCTAGTGCACAATTTGTTGGTAACCTTCGTGAGAGCCCAGCAGGACAGGAGAAGACATTGGAACAGATCTTGGAATATGAATTACTACTTATTCAGCAGCTGAATTTCCACCTTATAGTACATAACCCTTACAGACCATTTGAAGGGCTATTGATTGATTTGAAGGTACCAGACCTTTTTTTTTTTTGCTTACCAAGTTAAACATTGACTGCAATAACTATATTAAATGTTATATGAGTAATTCAGAGTTAAACTTTTACAGTGAATGAATGGCCATACTATGAAACAGATATCAATATTAATTCTGTGACCCCATCTTTAATACCTTAGATTTTCCTTGCACATCTTTCAAAACCCTTTCTTCCGTTTTTGAAAATGGTAACAAAATATTGCTTTTAGAACTGAGTGCCAAAATGATGGTTGAAAATGTTGAATTGTTTGTGTTGATGTTCGTGTATGTTTGAGAGGATTCTTAATTTCTCTGTAAATAAGGATATTACCTATATAATTATATTTCTTATGAACATCAAAGTTATGAGTAATGAGGTACAAAATTTGTTTTTTTTGCTATTCTTAAATATTAAAAATAAATATTGGTAAAGTTGGCTATCATAATCAGCTTAAAAATCTATGAGCTTTTTTATTTTGAAGAACAAGGTACTGTAGAAGACATTTTGGTTTGATTTTGTAAGCTTCACATTTTGTCAACTATCAGATCAGTTCATGAAAACCTTGGTTTTATATATAATGATTCCGAAGTGGGTGAAAAAGACCACAAAATAAATAATTTTATTTTTATTTTATTGCTTTGAGAATGGAAATCCTTTTAGTATCTGCCTTTCATTTGAAAGTACGTCTTGGATATGAGCTTGGAGGAAATTGTAGCAACAAATTATTCCAAAGTATTATTGCCTATTACTTATTTTCTAGACCCGTTATCAATTGCTTGAAAATCCTGAGACATTGAGGAAAACAGCAGATGATTTTCTTAATCGGGTATCTTTGACAGATGCCTGCCTTCTATTTACACCTTCTCAGATAGCTCTTACCGCTATGGTATCAAGTGCATCCAGGTCAGGATTTAATATGGAAAGGTAAGGCAGTTTCTGAATATTTAATATTTATATATACGTGTATATATATATTATTCTGCTTATGGAAGATCATATCTCCCATTTGGATTACTACAATGTGCTATGTGGGGCTGCTCTTGAAGACCACCCAGAAGCTTCAACTGCTCCAGAATGTGACAGTGTGCTCAGGATGGGTACTCGTAGCTTTACCCATGTAACACCTCTATTGTGAGAGGTTCACTGGCTTCCAGTTTCTTCCTGGGTGCAATTCAAGGTGATGGTTATCACCTTTAAAGCCCTATATGGCAGAGGCCCAAGTTATCTGCAGGACTGCCTTTCCCTAAGAACACCAGTCTATCCTACCAGGTTAGATAGGGTGGGTATGCTCCTAGTCCCTTCCCTTAAACACTGACACCTTAGGTGAGCTAGGAAGAGTGCCTTTTCTGTGACAGGCCTCTACCTAACCTGTGAAGCACCAAAGACCAGGCTTTTCCCCCAAGTGCTGGGATAAGAAGTAAATATCTGAAACTTGACTTGGTACCAAGGTTTTGTTTTTAATGCATTTGGTTTTAATATTTTTAATATGGACTTTTGATTGAGAGCCATCCAGAGTTTGGTATAAGGCAGCTACATAAATGTTTTAAACAAAGGAGAGAAAACTTTGAGTATCTTAGGATGTGGAAATACAAGAAATTAATTCTAAAACAAGTTGCTTTTTAAAAAAAATGTATTTTAAATACTGTTAAACTATCTTGCATTGTCTATCATGAAATGTTGTAAAATGTCAATCTTTTTATGATCTATAATTTAATTCTTTTTAGCTGTTGTTTATTTTCTGAAATTTTTAATAGTTACTTATCAGGAACCCTGATGCTCAAAGAGAATAAAACATCCCTTTCACAGTTGCTGGATGGAATGAAATGTAAGTATTGATGTTGACAATGAAACAGTACCTATTTAAAATATCCTTGATGCTTCAGAAAGGAAAAGGTGAAAAGCTTGATAGGTTTTAAGAGTTGTAAAAGTTTATTTTTGATATTTATAACTGAATAAAAGGACCCGTTATTTCAGAACAAAAATACCTGCAATCTGGTCTGTTTCCATCTTTTCTACTCCCCATGTCAGCATATAGGATAGAAAAGTTGAAGTGTTATAAAATATGCTGTTATCAATAAAGGAGAATATTTGTAGCTCAGGGTCGAAATGAGGGGTCCTTGGTGCTCTCTGAGCTTGGTTGTTTTCTTGCAGATGTTTAATTACCCAAACTAGGTACAGTAGTGGCCAAAATTGTGAAAGCCTTTTGGGAAAAGTGTATTTTTGAGGTTTGATGGCTAATAACACCACTTTTTTTGGAGTAGTACCATAAAATTATATATCAATGGAAAGATAATTTAATCAAGAATGTAATGCAACAAAGTTTGTTCAATTATCTGTACTGTATTCTATGAAAGGTTATAGCCAAATAACCAGAAAAAGGAAGCACAACTTGCTTAGGTTGATATCAGGTAGCTTTCCTTCATCTGATTGTAGCCAATGAGTATGAGTGTGTAGAGAGCCAATCAGGTGTCATCTTGTTTTGGCAATGAGCCAATCAGATCACAGTAGGATTCGGTTATTGATGTCATGTATTGAAGCTGAGAGGAGGACATTTGTCAGTGTGTTATGTGATCACTATCAAGTTGGTTGTGGTTTTTTTGTGTTCTTTCATTTAATGAGCTTGTAAAACGTAATAAAATTAAAGTAATGTTGCAAAGAGTTGACTGGTTGCCCAGAAAGCGATGTAAAATAGTATTATTAAGTGAACAAGGCTACAGTTATAAAGAAATTAGAAGAAAAATTGGTGGAAACTTAACCAAAGGTGGCATTTCTACTGTATACTTTTCCCAAAAGGTGTCCACAATTTTGGCCACTACTGTAACATCATCAATACTAGTCTCTGAGGATGATAGTGTAGCACTGATGATGTTACCTAGGGTTTGGGTAATGAAATGTCTGCCAGAAAACAACCAAGCTCAGAGACAACCAATGACTCCTCATATTCTGTTATATAAAATGTTTGTAGCTGTGTGGATTTCTTTAGTATTAACTATGGCACAGTCTCATTAGCACAGTGTTTCTCAACCTTGACAATTTTAAGGCATGTGGACTTCAACTCCCAGAATTCCACAGCCAGCATTGCTGGCTGTGGAATTCTGGGAATTGAAGTCCACATGCCTTAAAATTGTCAAGGTTGAGAAACACTGCTAGCAGCTTTGCTTCATCTGTTTTGATACTGAGTTTTATGTTGCCTGATTCCAGAGTGAGTTGTGCATTGTATAGTCCAGGAGATATTAAAATGTCAACAACTATACTAATGGTTTTTCTTTAGGACTTACTAGATTTTCGTTCGGTTGATTTATATTTTGAAGCATTGATGATTAAAAGTGCCTATGTCTCTAACATTTTCCCTGTGACTGTATTGCTAACTATATGATTAGACTCCAGAAAACTAAAAACAATGTAAATAACAATTTTAGTGTAACTGTACATTTATACTTACTTCAATATTGGTGAAAATAAATGATGTATTCAATTAAAATAAAGCCATGGTGGTGCAGTGGTTAGAATGCAGTATTGCAAGCTAACTCTGCTGACTGCCAGCAGTTTGATCCTGACTGGCTGAAGGTTGACTCAACCTTCCATCCTTCCGAAGTTGGTAAAATGAGGACCCAGATTGTTGGGTGCAATATGCTGAC